ATATGTTTAAACCAAGAAAGATTTCTTTAAGACCATAATGAGTATACTTTCTTAAATGGTATTAGATAGATAGTATTTTGAAAAAACTGCCTACATTAGATTCCAAATTGCTCCTTTTTTAAAGATTTTGTTGATTCTGAATATTTGATTTGTATATAATTGCTTGGTGATATTTTCCACGATCTGTAAAAAATGATCATGTTTATATATTATGCATGTGTATAATTATTTCTAAGAATTTATGGTCTTAACTTAGTTAGAAATGGCCAAAGACAAAGTGCCTTAAACCAAAATAAATTTCTTTTCATTGCCTTGTTTTCTACATAAGTGTATAATTAGATTTTTATATCATTAGAATGTCAAGAATCAAATCGCCATGTCATACGTTTATATGTTCTCGTGAGATAAAAACACTACAACAAAATTGATTGCATTTTTGTAATTTCAAATCTATATTTACATTTCATAAGATTTACTGCTTAAGATAAAGTTGGTATGTCATAATGTGATAAAGTATAGATAAATAAGAAAAGTTGTGTCTAGTCATCATATGCTTACGTAATAAGCGCAAAAAAACCGTTGACAGAAATTCAATAGCATAAGATTGATATCAGTCATTAAAAAATGCTTATAATTGAAGTGGTATTTATTGTCGACAAAGAAACATCTTATCAAACTTTACAGCTGGGGGTATAATGTTTGATAACTTAAACGTATGGCACATTTATTACACGGTCTTAAGATAGATATAACATATAAATTTAACCCCAAAAAACCAAAGGAGTCACAATATATTAATTCATTTATTTTGGGAAATATCAATATTAAGTGTAATAAGTTTTTAAGCTATTTAAGAAATTTATTAAAACACTTTCAAAATATCTTTTTATTTAATTGTAAATCTTAGAGTGAGTAGTGCGGATACATTTTGAGATATTCTTTGAGTGCCTTAACTTTATCAGTAGAAGATCCAACCGCTCCTGAATTAAACATTTATCGTCATTAAATATTGTACCATGTTATCACCATAAAGACTATTAATGGATCCAAACTAATCAATTTCTTTCAACTTCTCGTTTTTATTTTCAACAAAAATACGATTTTGAACCAATATTGTTCTCCATCTAGGCTAATTTATTCCGTTTCCAACAATCCGCAAGTGTCCTCATTCAAGCCTCCTCCTCTATACGAGTCCAAAATATCCAATTAACTTTTATTGTTATATAAAACAACACTCTATTGATGTAAGTGTCGTCTTTAATTATACATTATGGTGATTTCATTTTTGTTTCTTTTTGTGTTTTGAAAAAAAAAAAAAAAACATCGTTGGGTACAATCCTGCTTTTGAACTCGGACACAGCAGTACAACCTCCATAAGACTCGGCTAGTTCCCGTCCAAATAAAATATGTACAGCTGTGTACGCGTCCATCATAAGATATTATATTACATGTACTCAAAATGTGTATTAACCTAACTATTTCAAACGCTGTTAAAAATTCAATAAATGTTACAGTGCTTTAAAATACTTAAATATCATTTCTTTAAAACGACACAATAATCAGTAATCGTTCCTGCGAGACAGTCGCACAATACAGCAAAATGATAACTGAATAGAATGACACATTCGTGAGGATGAAACCTAAACGTAAGAGTTTCGTTGACTAAACTGAATTTGTTGTTCGGGAAACTCAAATGTGTTATAAAAAGCATAATAAATTTTATATAACGATGCAAAAAGGACCATGTATGCCGTATTCATAATCATATTGACAGTATTTTCATATACCTAACACGACAGTTCCATCATTTAGAAACATTTTGCAGTGTTTCTTAGATCTTAAAATTAAATGCTATACAAAACTCCGAATGTTAGAAATAGCAGGTTTACCTCGTCCGAGTATGTTTTAAAGATCCTTTTTGTTTATGTATGTGTCGTAGATTTTATTCGATATTTTGATATTCACCTGAGCCTGAGTGCAGCTACTCAACATGTAAACGTTGAAAGGGCACATGTACGTTTGAAAGATGTCTTAAATGAAACATAGTTTCAATAAGATATTCTTATCTAAACAATTTATATATTCTAAGTAACAGTTACTAGTATATAACGACCATATTGAGAAAAGATTGATATAAATTTACTCTAATTTCATGAGCATAAATTGGTATTTACAAAACCATCTTTCGGCAAGTCAGAGAAACGACGTTACATTACATTGTTCAGGACGGCTGTGAGTTTTATATGCCCAGTCATTTGTTTTGTTATGATATGAAGGTAAGGGTTTCAATCATAGTTGATACAACGACAAACAGTCAATGAATCAATTACAAAATAAGTTGACTTTGATGTTTCTTATATAATACGCGGCTCAAAAAGGCAGATTATAAATCAAAAATTCTTTTACCTTCCTTGAATGTAAGATTTGACACTAAAAACCTCGTGTTTGGCACCTTGCTTTACTTTAATAGGTAAATTTGGCACACGTCATTGTCACATACGTAAAATAAGTGAAAGCTAAGAATTACTATGTAAGTACATTTTCACATAAGATGATTTTTTAATTGATTTTTTCCGTAGGGTCACAAAGAGAAAACATAAGAAATAGCTCATTTTAATTTTGGCATTGTGTTTGTTTTGGATGACACATCGAATAGAATTACAAAAGCAAGTCTTCAACAAACCAGGTGTCTCTTGAAAAGTAATAGATGAAATAATTCATGGCTGCTTACATATCTGTTTATTTAGGTTTAAAACATACAATCATACAAAAACTGCTTTACAAAAAATAGATAGATTAAAGTATTGCAAAATAAATTGTTTGATTGCTGCTGAAGAAATAAAGCTATAAATTATGTTATAGTAAATTTTGACAAGGAAAAAAATCAAAAGGGTAACAATTTAGTATCTGTTTAAATGAATTACCCTTTCATATAAGATAAGCACCAATTATACCGCACACAAAATATAGGATTTTAACAATTTAATTCCAATACAATCATTTAATCACAAATTGTAACATATAACAATGAATATATGAAAAACACATTTTTTCATAAAACTGTTTATAAATCTATTTAAAACTTCACTCTAAGTAGGTAAAACTAAGTCATCGCGTGAAAAATGCTCTTTAAATTCAATAAACCGATATATAAAAATGTTTTCCATGATAACTAGTAGAAACTAATAATCAATAGATAGTAATTAATGATACCTTGTTATTTAGGTATAATTGTATAGTAGTTCTTTTGAACTTTGTGTTTTAGATCCGTTCTTAATTGAATCTGATAATTCCAACACGTTAATATACTCTAGTACAAATTGACATTTTCTTTAACAATGCATTTTAACGAATCGGATAGTAAATAAGGAATGTATAATGAAATCACCCTATATGAAGCTATGTAAATCATAACTGCTTATTGTTCATTATCTATTCTTACAAATACTTTTACTATTATTATTTTATCATTGTTGTTTCTGAAGATATACTCAAACAGTAACAATACATTTAATCGTATAAGCATCTAAGCTAAATGTATGCAAACTTAACAAAAATAAAAAACCCACAGAAAACAAACAAACAAACAAACAAAATTAAACAAAAAACAACAACAACAACAAAAACAGCATGCAAACGATCTTGTCGTGTAATTGCTATTAAAATATAAAAAAAATCGTGCGTATCACAAGACTATCAGGGAAATATTATTCAGTTGTACTACACTTATATTAAATAGTGATCCCATATTAGAAAAAGGAAAAGTTAAGACTTAGTTATAGAAGGAAGAATTTAATAACTTAAACAATTATCAATCACTATAATCATATAAGTAACCAGTAGGACGTCAACAGGAGTTTAAATGCCACTCTATCATAACGTTTGTCATGTCACAGTGAAAAATGCAAAACAGGCTGACATTTGAATGACCATTATTATTTAATATTCACTATGCAAAATAAATAATTGAATTCTTTTAATACGTGTCATAATAAAGCAAGAAACGTATGTGTTTAGAATAAGTTAAGTATAGTATATTGCATCATATATAATCATCACTCATAGTTTTTCTTTAACACCAGTTGACGCATTTTGACATGCATTAATTCATATATTTATTTAATTTTAACAATTATGTTACTTAACTTCTATTGTATCAACATTTAAATTACAATGTGTTATTTCCACCATGTTTAAAGAATATATTATCTAAAAGCATGAGACCGTCGATCTCATTTTAAGGGACCATTACTTCCTAAAATGACATTTCAAATTACTAATCAATGATGAAAAAGAAAAAAATTAGGATACTAGGTGATTTTTTTTTTAACTTTCAAGAAAAATGATCTAACAGAAAAAAGTTTGCCAGTTTGTTTTCTGTTGTATACTTTTAAGTATAACATATTTAAAACAAAATAGTCATTTATTTTATACGAATAAAGGCAACAAAATATACAACTTTATGATACTGATTACATGCATAACATACATGTATAGTGAAGCTAGTAAAATTACAGTTGTTTTTATAAAAGTAATAGGATGAAAATTGCATAAAATATGTAAAATAGAGAAGAAAAGAAAAAAAAAATCCAAAACAAAAAAAAAAATGAAATTGTTGTACTATCGGTCTGATTGAGCTTGTTCATGGACACTACAGTAACTATAAAGTACAAACTATCGTCCACTCCCCTTAGCACCGGCTTAAGCAGAATTCAACATATAAACATGAACAATAATACAATTTATTATTTGATTTCAAAAATCACAATTTCGCGCAAACAAACAGAAAGTATATGGCATTTCCAATTAAATACGACATGATGCAATAAACTTGTTTCAAAATTTTATCCACAGATAACAATATGAACCTTTAAACTCAAATATCGTACAATAATCTTCCTTTTAGGCCTACAAATAAAAATCAATTTATCTCGGTCAAATAGTGTAGGTAAACACTTATGTATGTAACAATAATTTGAAGAAATGAACGCATACACTAAATTCTTTTTTCAGTGCTCAAACATTTCAAGAATATGTTTCTTTAATGGACTTTAGTAAATGTATTTTCAAACGTGTGTAGAAAGTGTCATTAAATGAAAATAAACGTTTTATTATTTACAAAGGTAATTGGAAATTCTATAAACTGTGTCGAAGGCATTTTGTGTCATTAAATTTATCTTTTCTAATGTAATACTGGATATCTTCCTATCGTTAAACAAATAGTTTGTATTCCTTTGTTTTATTCTTGTTGCTCATCCCTTTCCATATGACTTTTACCGAATTCAAGAATTTCGAAGAAAGCCGCTGAAAAATAATGAACATTTATGTAACTATATTCGTCAGGAAGACGAGTTCTATTTTTCGAGCGTTTTTATATACATTGAACATTATTATATTTTGTTTTAATAACTTGAATCGTTCCAGAATTTGCTTTAGAAATTGACAAATGGTATATTATAGGCATAGTTACTTTGGGAAACTGAAATGCCCATTTTCCGTGCTTTGACCTCGTTCTATAGTTTTACTCAAGCCCAAAAATATGCGTCATTCTTTAAATATGTGATTCAAAAAGTGAAATATACCCATAGATAACCTATTTACCTTGCACTGGATGAGATACTATGGCGACATGGCCGAGAAAGTCAGCTACATTAATAAAATTTGCTAGAAAGGATGACAAAAGACATGCATACCTAAAATGAGTCTATCAGTTTGTTTATCCACAACATTTTGTTCATCGTAGTTCACTATAGGATATACTTGTTGTTGTCTGAACCCGAACTCATTCTTGAGTTTGTCCTTGCATTCATTTATTTTACTGTCTAAAAAAATTCTCTGTCTCCCAGTCTTCAGCGAATTGCTTACTTTGTCGCATTTTGTAAGGATCACTATATATGGACAACCTGTAATTGATTTTTTATTTATATTATTAGTCATAGGTTTATATAATTATATAAATAAATCGCGTGTTCCTGAAGATGTTAAATATAGTTTTCTTTTGCTTGGCTTATGATAAAACACCAAGTATCGCACATCAGAGTGATAAATGCTTAAGCAATATTACAATTCCGGTTGGGTTTACTACAGCCATCATGTCAACCTTAATATACTCGCATTGTCTATTTTGACTTACTTTATAAAACCATTTAGAAATTAAGGGAGCCTGGATTCATAAAAGTCGCAAATATGAGCGTGTAATCAGCGAATACACAGTTTACTTCATTTCAATAACAAGTTCTAGTCAAGTATTCAATACTGACCGATATGTTAACATTTTTCTTGCATATATCTCTAATACATATCTTTATATAAAAATCTAGAAACAAAGTGATCCCTTGGAAGCATAAATCGTAATAAAACTACATGAAAATTGCAGACAAGGTTAGATTGAGCCCTGTACATGAAGGATAATGAATGAGTGCTACATCCCTCACACTCCCTGCTACCGACTTGAGCGGTACTCAATTATTCTCAATACTTAAAAGTGCTGGCATCAATGATCCGAAGTACCATAAATATAAAACAACACTGAAGTAAACTATGGGGCAACTTTTTACAGCTGCCACACGGTACTTGAGACCTGTTGTTGTGAAGTATAATAATCTGGAATCAAAGTAATCCATCGGAAGCAGTAATTGAAACAAATTACATTAGGTTGCAGACTAGGTTTGATAGAGTCCTGTACACGAGGGATAATGAATAAGTGCAGCAAAAATGCTTATAGATAGACCATAATTTTATCACTGGTTATTTCCCTTTCAAATTGTTTTGAGTTTATTATATTACAACGCTTTTAAGGTATATCTCGAAAAATGAATACTTTTTATGTATTTCTTTTTTACACTTAAGCCTTACACAAAGAAAGCATTATTGTTTGTTTAATCCAATCTAATGACAATGGACCTTTGTCAATGAGATCCCGTCGCAGTTTCCTCATGGACGTTCTAATAACTTCTGAAAGGCCCTTTAGTATTTTCTCACAGTCGAAAACAAAACATACGCAATGTATTTTGTCACCTGGTTGTGGGTCTCTCTGAAAGTCATCTTGTGTATCTTGAATTCCATTAATGATCTGAAACAGAAATTAACGCTGAATGTGTAGATAAGTGCAAATCCAATACAATTATCTGCGTGGTGTTACACAAAAGACTAATATAGTTGAAGGTTGAATCTTTACTTTATACTTAAAGATAACAACCTTTGATTAAAATAGTACAGCTAGGTGGAAATATCAAAGAAAGTATTTTTGCAAATAAATATCTTCCCACACTTAGGTTATTTTAGTCTATTAAAGTGAAAAAGGACAAAATGAAACGGATTTTTACATATAAATTTAAAACGTAAGATTTTGGAATCAAAGAATCATTTGAACCAAACAAATTTAAATTATGCAGAACATTAATATGCTGTTCTACAGTGTTTCATAGCTGTCATGGAAAATTGGTGACATTAAAATCATAATAAAGTAAAACAAAATGAGTACAAATAAAACAAAAGCAGTCAGTGGAAATGCAAACTGGCCTTTATTAATACTGAAAGTTAATGGCCAGTTACGAGCTGATATATAACAGTGGTCAACAATTGAATTTATTTTTTTAAATGAACGAGAGATATGAGAAATCATGATTAATTTTTAATTCTTACAAATTATTAAGGTAACGAAAACAACAGAAACATAAAATTCTGCTTTGGTGATTTAGACAATGCTTTCTCGTGATTGAACATGCTATTATCTATCATCAAATAAGCTTACTTTGAAACCATCCGGCACATTTCCACTGATAATAAATTTGACATGGTCTTCTTTGATGCCATCTTGTTCTTGAAAGCCAGGAGTATCTCCTAGATATATACCGCTCCTCCGTGTGGCGCCTGTATCTTTGTCAACATACTCAATGTTATAAAGCTTAAACTGTAATAAATGTGCATCATTGAAACAGATCATAAAGAGGTTATTTATTATTAGGACACGACATCACAAGTTACGAAAGGTAAGAATCGCTTTGTTATAAAAATTGATAATGCCTCCGAGGGGAATGACTAATTTAGGACCGTACATTATTTTCGGACCAGCCTTGACCTGAATTAATTTTTTCAATTCTTATATTGATATCGTTTTTTATATCGTACACTACAAATATTAAGAGTCTAAGCCTATCTTGAAGTACTACAAATTAATAAACGGAGAGTAGTATCTTTTATTTGACCTTATAAAAGGTCAATTCAAATAATTATAATAATTATGCACATCAATCTATAACAAGTCATCAACCACATTTTCAAGAAATGCAATTGTTTTTGGAAAAATATCTATAAAGATTTTAAAGTTTAAAAAAAAAAAACTAAAACACACAACTTCTTCAATCTAACCATACTTTCAAGAAGAAAAATGTATAAAAAAAACCCTCAGCATCTCCTTTGCATTTCAATCAAAATTATTGATGTTATTGTTTTGCTTAGCTCTCCCGAACAGTGTAGTTAAAAATAAAACAAATCGTTTGTAAGTCTCAAAATAGCTTAAAGATGACGTCAAACTGGAATGTTGATATTTTGCACATACATAAATGATGAACATGAGGCCGCAACGGACTGCACATTCATAAACATGGCAGTCATCTTATGAAATTATTGTAAATTATTTATTACAAAACAAATTTGAAAAAAAAAGATGAATAGATTCAATTTTCATTTTCTGATAATGTGTTTTTATTGTTAAAATATATATTATTCTACTTTACATTTGTCTTTAGATTTGCTCCTTTTATAAAAAACCATATAATACAGTATTTATTATTATTTACTAAATCCATGGTTTAAAGCAAAGTTTAGTTCAAGTATACCATCTTAAAATCTTCTTCAACATTTGAAAAGCCCTGAAATATTACTAGTATTTCTAAAAGGCCAGCCAATAACTGTATAATTACCCATTTTAGCAGCCATTCTTGCCATGCAGAGACCTGCTTGGCCTATCAATTCTTCTTTTATTTCCCTGCTCTCTAACGGAAAGGGCATTCACAAGTTTATATATGTAGCGTTTCAAAGAAGAAAAAAAGAATCTGGAAAAATCCAGAAATGCCTGATACATTCCTAAAGCATAAAACATTCTTTCTTGTCGTTTGAATTTATTGGCCGTCTATTTAAACTTTTCTCACAGTTTTGTTGCAGCCTGCTTATGTTTATATAATTAACATCATCATTCAGATGAGATTCGACACTTCAAATGTTCAGTAAATATATTTATTTGGTCTTAGCCATGGATTTTTATTTCTGATTAATAACGGTCTCCGAATAAATATTTTTCAACGTTGTGTTCTGTTCTCCTTCTGTTTGTGTGGTGTACTCGTATATTCCACTTATATTATGTTAATTCTGTGGAAGCTGTTTTATTCTAGTGACCTTGGGAGTCACTAAATGCACATACACTTATAATGTGAACATAACTTGAACATTCTTCCTCCAAGATTACAGTACCTTAGACACGAGTTTTTGGCCTAAGTATTACTTTGTCGGCTGTTATTTGTCACTAACGTTTAAGACACATTTAATTTTTTCTTTGCAGTTTGCATTGTCTAGTAGACAGCAAATTGGTATCATTTGCTTACAATAACCATCATCAAATGGGACATGGACACTAAGTTTACATAAACGTAAAGAGTAAACACATTTTAAACTTCAAAATCCATAAAACTCTTTTTATTATTCATGTTGCATCACATCGAAGTATTTTACAAACGTTAAATTAATCATGTCCTTTTGGTCAAACTTGGCCCTGTCCTAGGTCCCTTACATTACACTCATCATATTTAGCAAGAATATCTTAAATACATGTTGTTTTCTTTAAAGAATATACAATTATTGTCAACTGAGAAAATACATCCGAGAGTCCGATTCCATACCTTTTTAAATAAGACGTGATGTCACGTATGAGTATAGACATTGCATGTTTACAAACTTTAAAAGCAAACCTGATTCTTCTTGTACTATTGAGTAGTTTACTTAAATAAAAAATCAAAGGAATATCGCCTGATTGATAAGTGACATAAACATTAGTACATTTCATCACAGCAGGGATGTAAAGATAAAGTTGTGCCATAAATCGCGAAAATCATGACAAATTCCAATGTTGCACTTGTAATTAATGATTTAGCTATATTTACACTAGCCACGGGGACTGGAAAGAAAACCTTGAAAGAAAACAACACAACGCAATTAACTCGACCGATACTACACATCATAATACCACATTCAATGAACTTACATAATGTTTACAAAATAATATTTTAATACCCTTTCTGTTGTAGATACTGGGTTATCTGTCATTGCTCCCGCAGATCCAGTATTGGCATTGAAAACAATTTTACTACGAAGTGTAGATTGAACCGAATCGATAAAACTCGATTTACCACTTTCTACAGGACCAACCAGCAGAATTTTTAGGTTGCTGCCTTCAAATGGTAGGAATTTTTCACTCAATAAATTTCTCTTTTCAACGTCATCCCTCTGAAAAAGATATTTATTAAAGAAACTGTTCAAGGATGACCTAAATCATTTGATAACAATAGAATACGTTAATCTAGTCAAACAACAAACGGCTAATTAATGTTGTCAAGTTTTTTCTGAACCTGGTCATGAAGTTTTAAATTTAAACAGGTAGATAGTAAATAAGCGTTATTGTTTCCGCATTGCAAGTAAAGGGTACATGCATAAATATAGTACAATCACTGCGAAAAACACATGGATATACGGAAGTGTACGGAATTCCGTATATCATTGATATACGTGTAAGAATACGGGAAACTTGAAATACGGAGATGTACGGGACCGTATATTAATTATATCAGTCCGTATATGACTAGTATACGAACTCCGTACACTCGTAATATACGGGAATTTTGATGTACGAAGTCTGTATTTTACTAATATACGGAATTTTTATGACAAGCCCGTATATTACTAAAATACGAAATTCCGTATTTGTGCAAATACGGATTCTGTATAAAGAAATAGCGAATGATACAGTCAGTGCACAGAACATGTAAGACATCCACCTGTAGCATGCAGACGCGGTATTCTAGCTCAATACCGCTGTGTAATAGCGAATACTTTACAATTGCGATTGACGATTAGATAGTACGTTTTTGTATTTTGCATCTATGGTGAATCATGTTATTTTGTAATTTCTTTTTCATTATCATTATAATATTTTATGATGATGAGCCAAACATGAGAAAATGATAAATTTGAAATTGTGATGTTCAAAACATGAATTAATTATATTAAAATCGTGAATCTGTGAAGTTGAAATCGTGAAAGTTAAAATAATTGTGAAATCACGAAGATAAATTCGGGATTGTCCACACAGCATTTAAATTTTACGTTAATATATCTCCTACAAAAAATAGGCTATACATAATATAATACATGTACTTGCATATGTAAATAAAAATCAACAATGATATCTCATTCATTCATTCATTCATTCATTCATTCATTCATTCATTCATTCATTCATTCATTCATTCATTCATTCATTCATTCATTCATCATTCATTCATTCATTCATTCATTCATCCATCATACATTCATTCATTCACTGAATCAATCAACCAATCATTCATTCATCTTATTATTCATTCATTCATCATTCATTCATTTATTAATTAATTCATTCATCATTCATTCATTCATTCATTCATTCATTAATCAACCAATCATTCATTCATTTATTCATACATTCATTCATCACTCATTTATTCTTATATTTATTTATTTATTTATTTATTTATTTATTTATTTATTTATTTATTTATTTATTTATTTATTTATTTATTTATTTATTTATTTACTTAATCTTTTATTTCAGGAAACATAAAGATTTGCGTTTTTGTACACAAGTTTTGCATAAAAATCTTATGAAGTTCCGAATTCCCCAATTTTGATTCTTTCCGCGCGGTCTCATTTATGACATAATATTGTGTAATAGCCACGTGCTGTATTGCGATAATCGAAGCCAATACTGATTAAGCCGGATATTGATCCGGATATTGATCATAAACGCAGCAGGGTATAACGAGTGTCGCTTTTCTCTGATTACGTAAGTTAGCGCAATTGGTGTTGAATGTCTTAACGGTAATTTTTACTGTTTATTTCTAATATAATTCATGTACGAAATAAAGGAATTAAATTGTGATCTCATAATCGAGTCTCTATGTGATTTTGTTCCAGATATTATAAAGACTCGAACCTGACATGTTAAAATGAAACAGACATAGCTGCTGTATTCTTTCAAATGTTTTTGCAGCGTATCCTTTTATCTGGCAGAATTCGTCATTTAAACAAGACACAATTAAGATTTATCTTAAAGTAAATTTTGAAGTACCCTGCTGCCAGGTCCAATTATATTTATGTTAACAAGCTAGAATCAGATGGATGTCACTGGGGAGTATGTACATGCATTGTTGATAGATGTTGTCAAATTATTCGAAATAGCAAATTAAGTCTATTTTGAGGAATATGTACTGCATGTAAATTATGTCAAGAAAATCCGTATAATATCATGCTAAATAAAATAAAATGTTGGAGACATAGTAGAGAGCAATAAGGCACACACACATACACATACGCGCACGCGCGCACACACACACACACACACGCACACACGCACACACCAACACGCACAAGCGCACACAATCCGCGAAACAATGGGCAATGTCACTAGAAACAAACTGCGCAGCTGCAGTCATGTCAAATAAACGACATAGTAATTCGATGCTAGTAATTCTTTATCAAGTAAAAGTCTGTCCGGAGTAGGCGACATGTAGATACTTATAAATTGATGGTATTTCCTATTTATGAAATAGTATCGCAAAATTTGGCGACAGGTAAAATTCTGTGTAAGTTAAAGTTTCATAGGAATATGTAAAAAAATCCACCAGCTTAAAAATCAAGCATTATATAGTTTTTTTAACCTTTTAATAGTATTGATGTGTTTATTGTTAATCTTAACACATAATGTGCGTAAATTATGACAATACTTACACTAAAGTTCGTATACGAATTCAACATGCAAAGAAAGACTATAATTAACTCGTGAATGCGGTTCGAATGAATTTGTTTGAAAACATTCATGATATATAATGCGGAAATATACTATACATTTTAGACTGCTACTTAAAGCAATGTTTGTTGATTTTCTGTTGATGTACAGATGATTCAAAAGCGGAGTTTCTTATGCATCAACTTGATAAGGCTTATAAAAATCCTTTTGGTTGCTTGTGGGTACCAAAATAAGATCGGGAATCGATATAAAACACATTTATTAAGCGGAACACATTTATTTCTTTCTTTATGAAATTTATAAAACGCAGCTTTAAGTCTAACTTTGAAATTCAATTCGAAAATATTGCCTTAATCCTTATTACTAGTTTTGTTCAGTATTCTTATGGCGTTTATACGGAGCCTATTGTTTTTGCGTTATATTTATAATTATATGTGAAGTAAAAAATAAAGAATAGAAAGGACAAGAATGCTCCCGGAATATAAAATTTTTACCTGATCGTGGTGATCATCTGATCATACAACAAGGAATGAAATTTATGAACTAAGACGATAGTAGACGACAGGGGCTCGGTAAGTTGATTAGTCACCATCCCAACGCCCTTTCCTTTCCCAAACAATATTAACTGCAGTGTATTCATGTACCAAGCACATTCATGATGGATATTATATATAGAAACCAGCTTTTAGATAATAATTTTGCAACGTTTGGTATGCCATACAAGAATTGATTAAGATTGCAATGCCTGTTACTTCTTCTATCAATTAGAAAACAATATTATTTACCCAGTCAGGCAATACATCTTGACGAGATTTCCAGCCTTCAAGAACAACGTTCATGTCTGAAATATACATAAAATACATGAACTTTGTCGTCAAAAAGTTAAATTTAATTTTGTTTAACAGTTTATGTATGTAATTCGCTATTCTTCATTATTGCAATAATATGCGTATCAATATCTGTCTTGTTTGCTAAGCACCCTTTCTGCACTTGCACGAGTTACAATTAATTTGTTTTCTCTTTTAAGGCACGCACATTCTTTCGGTTTGATGCCATACGCAACTATTTATTGGATGGCACGAACGTGTCACATTGAAGGCTTCATCTCATGAACTTATCTGCGGATTTTTTTTAATATAAAAAACGATAATTTGCATGTTTAAATGGTGAAGTCTTCTTAAATCGGAGCTTGGGGCGTGTATGGTATTTTGGAAATACCACTAACTGAGGATGCAACATTTTATTTTTTGCCGTTCTGTTTTTCTCAATTTTGCATTCTGCTGAAAACTATCGGTGATTGTAGGGAATCAAATTTATGTTCATTCTACATATGAAAGAATGTATGACTTGCGAAACAGAAGAATACAACTGAATGCTATATCTCTTTTGTTATGGATCTAGTTTTTTAACTAATGCTACTCTAAATAGGCTACGCTATATCTTGTCTTGCCCACATGCTGATGTTAAGCCCAAAGAACATGCCGAGGCGATAGGCAAAGCAACACGTCGACTGATTATATAGGCCATTTTAGAGTTGCAGTAATTAAGAACTAGACACAAGTCCATACAAAATATACCTTTCACATTTAAGTGTTCTGTGCATTTCTTTCGCACATGACACTCTCATTAGAATTCCATTGCTAGTATGAAGATATAATTGATATAAAAGTTAAGTATATATGTATAAAATGAAGAACCTGTATGATGTTTTAAATGACCCTCTATTGACTGATACATCCTATAGAGAGCTTTCAAAGCTAGCTGATCTTTTGTGTCCACACAGGTGTCTTCATTAACATAATTCACCACTGGAAGCACTTGATTTTTATTAACTCCATGGAAGTCAGCAATAGCGTTGACTGCTTTTTCTGCCTTGGGACTTTTGAAAAGATGATCAACATTTTTGGATATCTTGGGACAGAGCTTGTCAAATTTTGTTGCAACTACCAATATCGGCAATCCTTTAAGGGAAATAGACAATTATTACAAAATGACTTAACTAAAACCTTTTGCCATTGAATATATGATATGTTTAAGCCTCATAGAGGAACGGTAAATTAGATGTAGAAATAAAAAAGCGTTATTCTTTTAAATCAGATACTTTCTTAGAATATCGGTAGGAATATTTAAAGAGAGCACAATTTACACTGACGATTTTGCCGATCTGAGGCGACATGACTGCACAAAATCTAATTCCAAATCTGACCGTATTTAAATACAAAAAATATAATTCACAACTCTGCACGATCATTTTAACTTAATACATAAATTTTTCACTTCATAATCGTTTAAGTCCATGCACGGTCCCGACACGAAATATATATTTATTTAACAATTATTTTATTTAACAATTATTGCACATCATTTTAAGCATACTGATTCGCAAGGATTAATATTCAAGACACATGTTTTTACGACCACTACTCGAGTATTTAATTGAATAACACTGATCCTGATCTCACGATTCAACCACTCTTTCGTTTGTCCGACAAATCATGCCAGCCATAACGATACAAGACATTAATTTTTACACACGCATTTTCCAATCACAAATATTCATATATCTCATCTGCCCCTTTTAACTTGCAATTAAACTGATTTCTACTAAATCAGACCGACCAAATTGTAAATTATATAAGACTTTCATAGTCCGAAAAGCACTCAAGATGTTCTACTTTTATAGTTAGTACCAATCTTGACCATTTAACGAACGTTTCTTCATCAATTTGACCATGACTGAAGTGTTAGCGATGAACTTTCAAAAGAAAAGTGAATGATATTGTTAATATTCATTATCACACATGGCCTTGCATGTATCGTACTAGACCGCATTTCTTCGTAACATATTCCAGTAGCGTATTTAAAGTCGCAAAAAAGTCCTAAAATCTTGTCTATGCATCTTGTTTGCGCGATGATTTTGTTTGTTTGATTTAGGTAGAATCACCGACGTTCCATAAGCTAGCTGGATAGCTTCCTCACATGATAGAATCAACGACCTTAACCACTCGGCCACGGACGCCCCATTTGCGCGATGATGATCTTACATTGCACAGTAGAAGTGTTAACGTAGTCGGGCAAACATGTTCCGATCCCACAATGCAGCAGAGTTGGCATTGGTTGTTGGGTTGAACTTGTTAATAGGTAATAAATGGTAGTGTGTGACTATTATATTCCCGTTTTGAAGATTATATGCATTTTAGTACAGTTATAAAGAAGTCACATACAAGCCATGATAAAGCGGTTATCGTTATTGGTCTGTAATCAAGGTTATCGGAATTTTAATAAGAAATATATAAATGATTTGTTAATATTGATACTACAAAATTGTGAAAATAAGTTAAAACATAGGACTCAAGAACAATAATCCATTTCATTTAAGAAACATAGTACCTGTATTACAGATAACACGGTTCAGCCTGCTTATTCGTTCCTTATAAGCATCGGAGTACTTAGCAAAGTCAGAATTTCCTTCCACAAAGCAGATTAAATGTATTTTGTCATTAAAAGTTGGATTAAGTCTTTCTTCTATGATATCATCTGGGTTGAACGTGTCTGGAAACTAAGATATATTAATAATCTGACAAAGCTACACGTTCAACACCTGAATTTACACCGGAATGTAAAATGAACGGAAAACTTAAAAAATCTACCAAAACTACTCGTTTGATCGATTTGGTAATGAATAACTGTGTTATATTGTTAAACGCAAAATTGATGTTTATTAAAACAGATGGCAGATATAAATAAAATAAAATTGTAAGAACAGTAAGAGTATAGGTATTTTAAAAAAAACGACCAGAAAAATATTACATATCGTGGTGAACAATGCCCCTGGCTTAAAAATTATTTATGAATTAATGAAATGCAATTTTGTCTCTATTGTTTATCTGCTTCTAACTTGTCTGGAAATTAAAATATGTAAATCATAAGACAAATCTACATGCTATTGAAAAACTTGATATCACACCGAATAGTAAATAGTCAGAAGTCTGATAGATACAATCGAAACGTGATAATTTTACCAATATGGCGAATTAAAAAAAGTTTCAGACTAGGTTTGAACGAGCATGCTAATATACGACAGAAGCTAAAGCCAGCTGCCTTTTGCGCCCCATAATATTCAATAAAAAATTAAGAATTTTTAAAATACAAAGGTGTGCTCCATGTGCTAATTATGTAATCTTCAATGTGATCAATCTTAAATAATGAGCAACCACCCTAAAAATTTTTTTTGTCTTTCGACGGAATGTTTGTGATTTGCATGTTACATAAACTTTGTTCCTCTTCTATTTAGTTTTGCACATTATTTTCTTATTAGGGAGGGGCACAAAACATTCTATTACGATGCCTTTCATCGAATGGCAAAAGAAAAAAGGACAACTTTTCGGGAAAATTCCACCTATCGTAAAACTGTTGCTTGTCAGTGATTCGATGAAATTAACAAATGAAAATGAAATGTTTAACGTCTGTGTGTAAATTCGCAATTTGTTGTGCAATATATCATCTTTTTTTATTGTTTTGGTAAATAATGTACAAATAAAGTACTTCGTTGTAAAAATTAAAAATGTAAAAAAAACCTTAATAACATTGATTGAAATAGTAACTGAAACATAAAACAAATTTGTCGAATCAATTTACTTGATAGTTATCAGGAAGCCGTCCATCTATTAAAAGTTCAAGTTCTTTGTCATTCTCTCTTTCACTTTCAAATCCTCTAATGTCGAAAATGCGTAATTTCAATGTATCATCATTTGCAGACCTGAGATCATATTTCTTTAGCTACTCAATAAAAAATATTATCCAAGAATCTTTATAAACATTCATAAACATTCTAATTTCAACAATATAGGCATATTAGCAAGCATTACAGTCATTTCAGATTAAATAAAACATATAATTGAATAACATATTTTTTTCTAAGAGTAGGATAAATCAACCTCAATGAATACGTTTGTAGTATTTTAGAATCATTTTCCATTATTATTTGTTAATATTGACAAAACTATTTTGAGAGGGGGTTCCTTCGACAGCATAAAATCCAAAATAAGAAAGAGATGGAAACATTTTTATGTCGTTTTTTTTGGTAAGAGGTAATGGAAAATCTGTTTTTAACTGACATTTCCTTGTAGTAGCTGCACAGCACTTATTTATTTAATTCAACGATAATATTTATAACATTAGTGAGATAGATTAATGTATAAAGATTTTACGGCAGCCACATATAATCAATATGTTAATTTAGAATAGACAGACTTTTATGTTTTATCATGTAAGACATTTGGAAAATATGAAAAAACACCTTATTTGTGACGCTCGATGCAGATTGTCTGACCTGGGCAATTGGTTCGACCTTCCCTGTAAACACTGTCGATAATGTGTTAATGAACGAAGATTTGCCTGCTCCAACAGCGCCCAGCAGCAAGATGTTGTATTGACAGATATCTAAACCAGGCTGTGGTACCATTTCTATGAGGTCTTTTTTCCTGTTCTCAAAATCGTCGCCCTTCAAAAAAGAAATGTCGATATTAGAGTTGCATGCCTCCAGATGATCAAATATTACATGAAAATCCACCTTGAAAAAAATGTGCTCAGACTTTATGTAAAACGATAAAGATATTCACAATTAAAGAAATAATTAAATATTATCTGCAACCAATAACTGATGTTGCAGTATTTTATCACCATACGTCTAACGCAGTATTTCTACTGTATTATTAACGCAGTAAGGATCTGTTTTTAATATTCTGAGCTATTTTAGCTGATTTTCTCAGAATTTAAGTTTGTAATATAAATATTACCTTTGTTCTTTACTTGACAATATTTTACTCTTTTATACATTTTAAAAATGTTCATTAATATATCAAAATCCTGTTTTATTAATTATAAACCGATATATACACGTATGTTTATATTCTCACTTTTAAAATAAATTCATAATTTGATTATCTTTTGTTCAGTTTATCCGGCTGCTGATCATTTGACTTTTTAACGGGAGGTGGCTCACGTACCTTGACTGACACCAAATAAATCAAACTATCCTCTTCTATCTTTTGTTTACTTATAATCTTAGATAAGGTTTGAAACATTCTTAAGATACCTTTAGCAATAACGCACTAAATATCACATGGAGTCCTTATTTCTACGAATAAATATATTAAACGGAATATAGACGTATATCAGGGTTCATAACACACCGATTAATACGTGCTGATTTATTGGTTTACTAAACTTTAAACAATTATCGATTGATCGGAAACAATAAACGTATATAATTTAAGTCGGAAACATTTTGATTATAAACTGTTAAAACAGGTGCTCTTTTGACAAACTATACCCCTATCTTTTCACAGTTCATTGGCGATAATCGTTGTACGCGTTATACAAACATATAAACACCTGGTCAAGTGAAGGTCAAGAGTTTAATTTACGATCTTCATTGAAATTTGCATTTAAAAAAAAATAAAATTAATAAAAAAACATTTCTTTTTTATTGAATATTCGTATTCTTTGTCAATGTTCGAATGTTCGATAGTGTTTCGAATATTCAAATATAATTCCCGGTCCTAGTCTTAAAGCTTTTATGGAAAATGGAAGACCTGTTAAATAAATGATTACGTTGATAGCATTAAATATCACTAAATCATGCAAGAATGACATAAACATGCTGTCAAGCGTTGCTTGATCCGATAAAACTATTTTAATATGTAACAGATAATAAATTATTCTATAACAAAATATCATTATTCATCATGTAAATGCTCATACTAAATTACTTATATAACTCTATCAACATTGTTTTTCAAAAAAGATTTGTTTTATAAGAATATCAAATTATACATTTCTATTGTTTTTATGAATATTTGAAATACTTATGGACAATGTGCTCATTGTTGACAAGTTAAATGTAAAATATAAAAATGTTCTATCTAAAATTATTTAATACATTCAAAGCTTTGTTCTGAAATATCACTTTATAACCTTACCACTAGTCTGTCCAGCCAGTCCTCTTCGTACTCATCATCTAAAGCATACATATGAATGAAAAAATTGAGTACTTCGCTTATGTAAAATCAGACTGTATTAAACAAGATATATATGATGGCTTTAATAACCCTCTTCTAATTTTGGTGGCTCTTTATAAAAAGAAACAATTAGTATCACTATAGAAAGTCAAATAATTGCTTAGGAAGTCACTGGTTATAATTGAAAGCCAAAGGTTGCTATAGAACATGCGTCGCTATTGAAATGCAATGGTTGCTTTGGAAGTCACTGATTGCTAAAAAAGTCATGGTTGCTTTGGAAGTCACTGATTGCTAAGAAAGTCAATGATTGCAATGGATTCAAGTGGTTGTTTAGGAAATTCATTGCTTATAGAAAATATGGAAAGTAGATTGATGTTTTGGAAGTCATTGGCTGCTATGAAAAGTCAATCGTTGCTAAGTTTGTCACTGACTTCATTGTTGAAGGATAACCCATGACGCCCAACCCTCGTGACTTGATGCGATTATGACCTTAAACGATTTAAACCTATTATTTATTATTCTAAGATCAACAGTTCAATGTTTCATGACAAATATCTACTATGATACCAAAAAAAAATAAGAAAAATCCAAGACAACCTAGGGCGGGGCTAATTTTGACACAGGGCTATGATTTGAACAAATTTGGTAGAGATCTTCTAGATAATGTCTCATACCAATTATCTAAGCTTAAGCTTTCGTTGTCATATAGAAGAAGTATTTGTTTTTACAAAAAAAGAAAAAATATATATTACCCCAAAATGCAAAATTTCAATAATTGTTGTAGAGTTGAAATAATCAATGTTAATGCTAAATATCTAAATATACCAAATCATTGAAATTATCAATTTAAACATTTTTAAAGTATTTACTATCGAAGGAAAAGACTTGATCCCATAAGGCGGTGTCAATTTTAAACAATTGTCATTAAGTTTCATAAGATAATGTTGCACTTAAAATATCTAAGCTCTAGGTCTTATACGTTTAAAGAAGATTTTAAAAGATATTATCTTCAAATTTCTTTTTGAAATAGTCCCTTTGACCAAGATGGTCAATGAAGCTAAACCATTACGCAATATTAGTAGTAGATATTTATTTAATGACAAATCATAGGAAATTTCCATCAAAATTAACCCATTGGTTTTTGTTTGAAAAATAGAACGACGGACGCAAGCACGATGGACACCGAACAAATTTTGATTATAAAAGCTCACTTTGTGCTCATATGAGCTAAAGGCCTGCGCAAAATATACATTTAATTGCAAGTACATCTCTCTCTCTCTCTAAAGACTTTTCTTATTTTTCTTATTTGACGATAAAAATATGATATAAATTACTGTTGAATTACCTTTTTTATTATCTAAATAAACTTAGATTGAATTTGCTTTTCGATTTAAAAGTAATGTTAACGTAAAGTTTTCTTTAATTCTTCTTCTTTTATGAAGTTACTTAATATCTTCCTGTGTATGGCATGGTCGGCTGTACGTTTGAAAAATCATTTGATGTAAAGATATTTAGGAACACATGTTTAAATTTATAAAAAATGAAGTAACATGGCATACACAATTAGTAATTTTACTTTAAATTGATAACTTAATAAATAACAAAGGACTGTTTCAGTAAAGAAAAATTCTAAAATTATATCAAAAATAACTGTTTGTTCAAACAATTAAACGTTAACCTGTGACCTGGTAGACCTCAAGTTTTCTGACTATCATTTGTCCGGAATTGATCGCTTGCTCTGACGCACCATTACCATCTTCATCGTCTGAACTTTGCTTTTCTACAGAATATGAAAACTTCATGTTAAGGGAGCCATTCAATTGCAGAAAATTATCCCTTGTCTTCCATTCATGCTTTGAATCTTTTTTAAATGCCTGCAGGTCATATCCTAACAGTCCTTTACCAAATGTAGGACCAAAATGTTTATCACATATGATAGCATGCTTTATCTCATCCTTTTTTATTGGAAAGAAGACACATTTAGCACCCAAACTGTCGTTCTTTTTAAAAAGGAATGCGTTTTCGTCCTTGACCTTTTGCTTTCGGGTTGAACTCCAGTTTTTAGATGTATAGCCGCCAAAAAATGTATTATATTTGCCATATAAGATAGTCACAGTTGGGCCTTTAGCGTCACACTTTAAATGAAACTCCCCTACATCTGCTTTGTCAGTGGCCTGGTAAAGCAAAGAAAATCCTATTTTCCTATTTTTGTCTTTACTTATCCGTTCACCAATTTCATCCAAAAGTTGTTTCGACGGATTCATCGTTTTGCTAAAAATATATGATTTGAAAGCATATTATTTATAAAATGAATCCTGAGATTTCCCGTTTTTAGTATGCATTATGTATGTATTCGTAGCGTCTCGTAGAAACAGTCTCAAAAATAATAATTAAGGGCATACGCATTTTTTTTTACTTGGGGACCATATGCCTCTTTTCATGGAATGGCACTTACGTGTCACATTGAAGGTTCCATCTGCGGATGTTTCAAAATTTCAAATTGTATCATTTCATGATTAATGTTGAATTCTGCTTAAGCCGGTGCTAGTGGGCGTGGACGGTAGTTTGCACTTGACAGTACCGTCAATGAACAGGCTCAATCAAACCGAGCCTGCAATATTTACAATTTCGCCGTGTTGGGCTTTCTTAAGGGATTCTTATATGCTCTATTTCATTTAATACACATGGATACAGCATCCCTATGGACAATGCTTTAGGAAGACCGAATTGTTCTTGAATTGATCGTTCATTGAACGCCGCCTTTCCTTGTTGATCTTGTTTATCATATTTTTTTACCTTATTTCTTAAGGGACCATTACCTATTATGTCAAATAATGGGATTTGCATAACTTTGTCTACAATTGGACATAACCTGTTAACATTTTAATGAATGGAATGTTTTTTTTCACACATAAATATAAACATATAAACACATCTACCTCTACGACATGATCTTTAAAATATACAACTTGACTCGCATATTATTTTGACCCATAAAGTCAAAATATTTTATTTACACTGTTGATTGCTTTAATTTTTGTATGTAAGTGCATTTTACTTAAATTGCAATAACTTGTTTTTTATACAGTACAGATAGCAACACTGAAGAACGCTGAAAGATTCAATTATGAGATTGAACTTTTAGACTGGTTTGATTTTGGGAAAATGTTCATCCTAACGGCATTTTTTAGTACAAGCAGGTAGTTGGGCTTACTTACCTATTTCTGTACGCTGAATTCATTTTTTGCTCTACCACGGCTGTATTTTTAGTCCTTGACCTTTAAAAATCAATTTCAAAATGGCCGCCATTTAATTTTTTAATTTTACTTTAATTTTCCAATGGGCGAGATATAAACATATTTTTTTGGCATTTTAATTAAAGGCATTTTAAATTTCAGTCTGCTGAAGTGTGTACGAGAAGAAGAGATGCAAAAACAATAAAATTTATTGCGGCAGCCATCTTGGATTTCAAAATGGCTGACAATTTCCTATGTTTTATACACTGTATTATAATAAAAGAAAACAAGCACGAGAAGACATTTTACCAGGCATGTTTTCTTTTATTAGAAAAGCAGTGATACTAATTAAGACTTCCAAGCGTAGATTTTGAAAAAACATCCATTAAAACTACAATATTTATGGTGCAAAAAGGTCACAATTTATACCCTAATACAACGTAAATGAGAGTCATATTTGCGTTCACTTTGACATTGAGATGTTATTTTTATAATACTAAGAATACAATTCATGTTCTTTAAATTATTGCGATGTTTTTTAAATTGGATTCGTATCGCTCTGAGGGGCGACCTGCTCAAATGTCTGTTCGTCTGTCTATCTGTCCGAGCGTCCTCTTGTGTCAGTTAGGGATATTTGCGATCACAATTAGGCGTTTAGATTAATTCCGTATACCCCCAACCTATAGGATGAATAGACAAAAGGCTGCTTTTAGAGTAAGAAACAAACATTAAGATAACAGACATCTTCACAAATCTCTCTCAGAGCTTGTCCCTGTCTGTCTGTTTTAATATCGTCCATATATGTCATTTTTGGTTAGATTTAGAAATAATTGCATTAATGTGTGGCACATTGATACAATGTCATAAGAAAGACCCAGATTTGAAGCTCAACTCCTCAAGTTAGACTTGAAAGTGCTTGAAAAAAGATGTGCATTTAAGTATTCTGTCATTAAGAGATGGATTTTGAAAAAAAAGCGTAAACTATAACTATAAAAGCCTATAATAACGAAAAGGGAAATGATATACTTTATATTATTACTTAATCTTCAAACAGGGATACCATAAAAATTGTTTGGTTATTTCTCATGTCAATGTCAATTGCGCAAGAACATGTACTGGACCGTGTAGTGATTGAGAGCCAATTCAACAGTCCAAAGATCAGGGTCATGTCTATCAAGAAAGACAAGTTGGTAAAAGTTCATTGGTGAATCCGATCAACAATTTTTCATGAACGACATGATATTTAAAAAAAGTCTTAGTATTTCCAAAAGTAATATAGGAATCGCCATCCAGGCTGGCATTCGAAAAATAAATATATATTTTTTTCATGAAATAGACTACTTTCCTGAGTAACAGAGTTAATGTTTCTTATTGTAAGAAAAATATTCCATGTTTATACCATGGAAGCCGCTACATACTAGTGTCGAGCTTCGTGCATGAGGATAGTATTTCATTTGCTTATAGGTAACCCGCCAATAACATGGTGGTTGAAGCCCCCGTGTTAGGACTTTTGTCGTTTATTTTGTTATCATGTGGTGTTAAAATATCTGTTTTGATTGACCTAGAGCAGGCGGTGTACGGGTAAAAATATTTAAATCTTGTTAAGTAATAGAAAGAGCATCGAAACACGAGGCTATCTGATTTGTACGAGGGGGCGTAGCCCCCGAGTATAAATCAGATTGCCGAGTGTTTTGGTGATATCATAGTCAAACATAAAAACACGTTCCCTGATACCACAATATGAAACCCCACAAAAAAGTAACCAATGAACGAGCATCTGAATATGATATTTCCATCGCTTTCCCTTTCTCTGTCGTCACAATATGAAAACCCCGGACAAAATGAACCAACAATGGGCATGCTCTGGAGTGCGGGTAACTAATACCCGCACTCCAGTTAACGCACGGTGCATGTATATGTATACGATTTAACTCTGTCACATTTTCAACAGAAAGGTCCCCAAACTATGATACAATTGTATATGCCGCCGTCCTGGAACGACAATAACTGCGTAAATGTGTAATTTGAAAAGGTCGTGTCATGCACAAGCAGGGTATGTCTACAGTTAAACTTCTATATCATAAATCATGATATAAACGTAACAAGGTGGTTGTGTCCGATCTATAACTTTCTCATTAATTGATGCATTTTGAAATAATAATTCTGCATAAATATATGGCACATTGGGACAATGAGTCAAATGTAAACCCATCTGATGATGTAAATCAAAGATCAAAATCATAATTTCACTTCGAACAAAATATTTCCTTAAAGTGTCTGAAAAGTCTGGTTAACGAGTTTGTCATTCATGGATGAATTAAAAATCATTTGGGATAAATATAGTGCCTCTTTGTAAGACGACATGTAGCGAACAAATGTTCCAAGGTCACACTTGTATTTCAAAAGTCATGGTATGAGAGTGCATTTGTGGTTAGTCCAGTCCATATATGTGTTATTCAGCGAGAGCTAAGAATAAATACGTGGTACTTTGAAACAATTTGTCTTGAGTGAGAAAAGAATTGTCGCATAAAGTAAGATTCAGACATTAAAGGTCATATTTTGAAGGTCATGTCCGGTCATGAATTCTGTCATTTATTAGATGGATATTGGCATAACTGGGCATACATTTGTGGCACATTAGGACTACTTGTAATGCTTAAACTTTAGGTTGATAGCTAGATAGGTCAATTTAGAACATTGATGGTTGTGTCTGTATCTTTGTCATTTAATCATGGATGCATTTTAAAAAAAATAAGGTTTACGGAAGATACAAATAAATGCTTCTTAATGTTTCTAATGTTTGTAAAACTTGTAAGACTACAGTAACCATGCCTTCAATGTAAAAAATGGAAAACAAGGAAAGTGGCACCCCTTGATTATCTTTGTTTTACATAATTGTCAGGATAGTGCAAAAATAGTTGGTACACATTTTAGTGACTAAAATTACACTAAGAAATACCAAAGTAATATTATGGAGTGATAGTAGAAAAAATATGGATTAAATAATTATATTGTGGCAAATGACATCAAAATATGTTATATCATAATGGAATAAGATACTCATCAATTTCTTGAAAGATAGCCAATACAAGAACATAATAAGTATGAAGATTTGAAAATATCTTAGTCACTTGAATGATTTTAAAACATGAGATAGAATAAGGCGCAGCGTCCTTGGCAAAGTGACATAATTATAATGAAGACGTTGATATTAACTAAGACAATGAATGAATAAATATCAATGAATTAAGACAAAACGCAAAAAATCTCGTATTATCAGTTAAGTTAATAAAATTTAAAGACATAGGCTTCGACGGCATATGTTACAAGATTTAGTAGCAAAAAACTAAAATGCTCTATAAAATTATTTTGTGTTAATAAAAAGGGGTAAACAGCAGTGAATCGTCAATATATTAATTGCAGAATTGGTATCAATTATCTGTCTAATCTTCTATGCATGTACCATCATCAAATACCCGCGGTAGACCTATAATGTTTTACTCTATATTATTCATTAACCGTAAGACAGTGCATCCTCGTAGAATATTTATGGTTCATGTTTGCGATACTTTTTTTTCAAAGTGAAAGGTAATAAAGATTAAAATGACTTTACCATTTATTTGAGTTTATTTCAATTAATAAATAGATGATCTGTTTTTAACCATGCCTAGGCATGTTTAAAGTTTGATTGATAAATACGACCCTTTATAAAGTAGCTATATCAATACGACAATACAAAATATCGAATAAAACAAATCTGCGGATATTTCTAAATTCCAAATTTCGCAATTCCCCCTTTGATATATGAATTTTGCGTAGGCCGGTGCTAGGGTGCTTGGACGGTACCTTGCAGTTTTAAGTAACGTCCATGTACAGGCTCAATCAAATCTAGCCTAAAACATTTTAATTTTGCCGTTTTGATCGTTTTAAGTGATTTTGTTGTTTTCTATTTTAAATCGGGTCGTACAATAGATATTGTTGCAAAGACATGCGGGCCCAGAGACATAGTCGCTGACCTGTGAAGATGACAGGCAA